AGTGCATTAACGCCTGTACACACACATATTAATGCTCACATTACAATCCCATTAAACCCACGAGTTTTAAAGATGTGGACTACGTTTTAGTTAGGAAAAAGGAGCATGGTTCATCCCTCTGAATCAGTGACTGCAAAGCACTGTTATTCTCAAACATGATCCAGGGATACACAGCACACCTTCTTCTTCCCATGCCAAAGTATACGTCAAAGTATATGTCACAAAGAAAGACAAACCAGCTTGAAGGTTACAACTCACGTTGCAAAAGTTTTTAAAGTCAAAGCAATCAACTCTAGAAGAAGTGCAACAGTATCATACGTTTTGTTCTAAATCTTGCAATTTTTGGTATCTTTACTATTGGCCTACTTCCTGATGCTATAAGATTATATATTAAAGAAACCTCTACTTTCACAGAACAGGAAAACAACACATGTTGCTTGCTGTCACCACCACCCAGAGAAACATGAAAAATGGCTGTCAGCTCTGAAAGCTCAGAAACCAGAGGACCAAGGGAATGAATCCATGCACAACCACTTTTTTAACACTCACGATTTTTCAAACCCCTCTCTTTTGTTGGTAGGGATCTGACTCATAATTTTCAGAAACAAACAGGAAGCACTGCAGACATCTCCAAGTATTTCCTCTCCCCACCCTCCCTTTTGCCCACCCCTCTTGTCTTTTACTTAACTTCTGGACACTTTATTATTTCTTTTGCTACGTCCACAGTGAAATGTCACTGCTCTATACTGGCTCCAGTGTGCTAAGGTACACAGGCCTTCTTTTGCTGAGATCAAAGGGAAAGGTGCCCTTCCTCCCATTGACTGGACAAAGTGAGGCTTTCACCAGCTGGGAATGCAAAGCTCCTCCACCACAGCCTACAGCATCACATTGGCAGCCCTTCCCAGTAGCAAGCAAGGGCTCTTCGCTCTCCAGTCACTCTGCCCTAGGGAGCCTGAGCCCCAGGGCTGGCAGGGGCAGAAGCCAGCTGGCCAGGCACTGGACGTGACCCTCCCCACAGCAGAGTCCTGCCGAGTGGGACTTGGAGCAGAGAAACAGGATGAAGAAGTGTTAGAAGGTAATGTGCCGGGAAAGCTTTTTTACCTTACTCTGTTTATTACAGCGCTTCCTTTCATTGTGTGCTTGGGGAAAAAAAGAAAAATCATTTCCCCTTCCCCATTCACCATCAGGGCCTGTCACAATGCTGGGCAAGCAGCTGCTTAGCACTGGCTAGCAAGAGGCACTGCGGAGGGAGGACCTCAGGGCCAGCTCCTCTGCACCCTGAGCAGAGCCCTGACTGCAACTTGTAAGGAACTACTGGGAGTTTTTATGACCATGACTGCCCAAAACATGCCCACCAACAGGTGGGTGAGGAAGGGGCAAAATCCAACATGTGGGAAAGGCCGGCAGTGAGACAGCACACTGACAGCCCGTGTCTCAGGGAGATGTAGCACAAGGGGGCATGAGTCCTGCACCTGCTGGAGTGAGCTGGGGAAAACAACATGAGTGGCAACAGGAGAAAACAAAGGACTTGGTTTGAAGAAGACCATGCAGCTACCACAAGGAACTGGAGCTAGGTGAGCATGTGGTGGGTGATGGAGTAGTCATCATTACTTACTCCTGCACGACCAGCACTCAGCCAGTGTGGTGAGAACCATGGAGGCACACAATGGGAAGCTACCTGTTTCCCTTTTTGGATCTGTTGGTGCTCTCAGGCTACTCTTTTTTATTTTCTTGATGGAAAAATAAAAAAAAATAAGTGGGCTACATTCTAGCAGCCCTTCCCAGAAAGAAAATGTTCCACTTTTCAGGGTACTATGTGTGTTCTATTTCTTTATGTTAGTGTATAGTCTTAAATGCAATTACAGGCAAGCCTGAGATCCAGAGGTTTGTACCCATGCCGCTGTGGCTCCCATAGTGACTTTGACTGTAGCAGCAAGGCTGCCCTGCTACTGGGCAGTTTCCCTGGAAGGGGAATGTGAACACAAAAAAAAAAAGGAGATACCAAAATTCCCAGCTAGTTTCAAGTTAAATAAACTAATTGCTGCACACAACCCCATTTTAAAAGTCCTGCTAAAGTCAGCCTAATATTGTGCAATAACATTCATCACAGTAAAACTATTCTAACCTTCTCCTTATCACTCCACAATCCTCTCGGACGCCTTATCACAAGAAGTCAACCCAATGCCTGGCACATTCAGTGCCGTAGCTACGATTCCCTGTTCATTTGTGTATAGTAAATAATACTACTCAGCTATAAGCTGATCTGAAAAGATAGCATAGCACCGCACCCGAAAATCAGCTCAATTTTTATCACCTTTCCAGATTTGATTACATAATCAAAAAGCCAATCAACTAGCTCTCTGATGCAGCCTTGCGTAGGCTTACACAGTTTCTTCTCCAAGTCAAACAGCACCACATTGTCTGGGGTAATCTCATCCGCTCACATAAACAATTAGTCTGCTATATTTTGATTATCACTTCCGTTTAAGAGGACATTGAGAGATGCTTCAGCCTGAGTGGCAGAAGGTCTGGCCTCCTGCTAAAACAGACATGCTCTTCTCAAGCTTCTTTTCTAACTGCAAAACATAGCTGCCAGCCTTGCCCCAAGTACCTCGCTGAAGCAGAGCTCTGTTCTCATTTGACACACGGAAACAAACCAGCATGCATTTAGGTGATGCCTGACACTTTTTTGAGTTATAAGACTCATAGATCACATATTCGATAAAAGAACTAAGTTGACCCAAATGCAGGAAAGAGCAAAAGTAAATACTGAGCTATTTCATTCAAGTCATGTTACAGCCTTTCAGAGCTTGACTGTCTCTAAGCAACAGTGAACTCCATTAGCACAAATCATCTACTAAATTGTTTAAGTATATGAACTCCTATTGCATAGAGAGTGCTGAGCAGCACTCATGTAAACTGTTTGATTTGAACAGTGACATGCAGCCATGGATAAAAAATAGCTCACAGAGTAAATGTATATCCACGGCCTCAGTGGTTTGAAAAACTATTCACCAATCAAAAGGTAGGATAATCCCTGATACTGCAATCTACTCATATAAATTCTTCCATCAGTGTAGTGCCCTAAATGAGACATCAGAAGTTAACTGCTCTCCTGTGAACCATTAAGATAAAAACAGATATTGGTTAAACCTAAATGGATGATCTTTCTTAGAAAAATGGAAAGCAGAGAGGAGGATTTATTCTACTGCGTTTGTATATGTTCCTTGCTACTCTGGCAGCTTAAAAGGAGTACAAATTGTTCCCATGCCTCACAATGTGCACTTCATCTAGCTGGTCTGCAGCTCTGTGTTAGCAATTATGTGAATTGGAAGTGAGCTTGAGCCTTTGTTGTTTATTTTTTTTCCCTGCTCTTCAATCTGAAGAGGTTTTAGAACATTTTTGTTTATTTTTACCTTTGAAGTTCAATTTTTTTTCTAGGAAATGAGCACTGAAAATAACTGTTTGTTTGTATGTAAAGCTCTGTGTTTATACAAAAGAAAAGTTTGTCTCCAACTTGTCATCCTGAAATTAGAAAAACGTATCACAGCACTTATGTTCAACAAAGTTGTGCAGAAGTTCCCGCCAACTAAATTTGTGCAGATCTTGTCATAGCTGCAGAGGAGACTTTTAACTGGCATTTGGATCAGAGTCTCTGCTGACTTACTCTGGCAACACAGTGCCCAGAAAACACCTGACTGGCCAGCACTCAGTTCACCACCTGCAAGGGATGGCACAAATATCCCACTTCCCCTCCTCTCAATGCACATTAGCAAAAGTGGCAGAAGCAAAATAAGACTTCCCAGCACCACTTAGCAATGCTCTCTGGCCAAGGGCCGTTTGAAAGCAGTTACTTCCACATTAGTGCTAAGTGAACCAGAAATCCAGACACACAAAAATTCATCCGGCCTCTCAGGTTTCAGTTTAAGGTGGGAACAGTACCTTCAGAACACAAAAAGCCATTAGCTAGCTAAGGCAGTGTTGAAGTCCTGACCACTGCCTTTCCTCGGAGAGTTCAGCCTGTACAGAAATTATCTCAAGTCATTTACATCTATACCACTATAAAGAGCCTGACAGCTTCTTCCAGGCAACCTTCAGTCCCTTCACATACACTGTTTAACCTGGAAGGTTCTACCTTCAGTCTAGGGACTGGATAGTGGTAGTCATCTGCCCATCTCCCAAGATAAATCTCTAATCTGGGAAAAAAACAGAGCATCTCCTCCTTCCTGCAAACAAAGAGGAAACCAAAGCTCATTGGTATCCCAAGGCTCAGAATTGCTTGATTTGTCAAACTACCCTAGAAGAAGAAATTGTGCATAATAAGGTTGAATCTTTAGTGATAACAGATAACCATTTGTTATCTACTGTTTGGGTTGTGCGGACCCCTTACTGCTCAAATTTTCCCTTCAACATCCTCCCACCAGCCACACAAACTGCAAGTGCTGTGGCAGAAGCAGCATCAGTAGTGCAAAGGTGTATGCAACTGCCACACAGACTGCTCTTTCAGGACACCAGAGCTCAGTAATGGGGACAAAACTGGCTTCCTGCTGCTCCACAACTCACACAGTAGATTAAATGCTGAGGAACTGCAGTGAACCAGCTCCGGCTGCATAGCCCAGAGACCAGCACCAAACACCACACAGAAAGAGCTACCAACATATTTCATTGGATGCATAGGAAAACCATCTTCCTTCTTCTTCTTCTAAAATAAATAGCCTACCTCATGTCACTGAGAAGGATTCAGTCCCGATTAGATAGAGAAGGACCAAGAATTCATATAAGGTATTTAAGGCCCAGCTTACATAACAGATCCATAGCTCTTCTGACTGCAAAAGTCAGGGAGAAAAAACTGCACCTGTTTTTAGAAATAATGAGTGCCTTCATCAGTCCTTAGAAAACAAGCACTCAGATCTGATTCCTAAAACTACCATCACATAGAAACATCCTGTTCTTGAGCAAAAGCAGACAGAACATAGAAATTCCAAAACTCCTTCAACAGGTAACATCATCTACCTACCTAGATACCCACAGCCAAGGTGCAAAGACCACTCTGAGGGTATTTGAAGGTACTTGAACACATTTCATCACTCAGGCAAGTCTGGGAATACAGTATCTTTGGCATCCTCACAGAACTCAAATGACTGGAAAGAAGTACTGACAAGGTATTTTCAGTTCTTTCAGGCTAACAGGATAAATACCTCTAGTTCTTCTACAATGTCTGCTAAACCAAGAAAATAGATGAAAAGCAGCTACTGACAAAATGCTTTCTTTCAGCTGAGCTTGCTGGAAATGCTGCGCTTCATTCTTTGATCTGGACATAAACTTTAATCAGTTCCATGCAGATCTTTAATCCACTCACTTGTCACTACAAGCTAGACTATTATAAGGCATGTGCATCAACAACATACAAAAAGGAGGTACGAAGTGCAACTGAGACTGAATCTCCTTGATTCGTTTATGTCCCACTCACACCCAGTCAATTCATGAACTCCTTTAGGCTCTCCTCTAAAAATATGTCCCAGAAATGTTCATGTTACCAAACAGGCTTGAACAAGCTTTTCCAGTCTAGCATTTGATCTTCTGCACAGTCCACATCACCCCAAAATATCTTTAAAATAAGAGATTTGCTTTATATTGAAACAAAATAGCTTCTGGAGTATAATTCATGCTCTCATCCACTCCTCTTTTAAGTTCCTCAAGGGCAATAGGATATAGTGCCCTAATTTCCTTGAGTTTATTAAATTAGGCAGTTGAAGGTATGAGTCCTTAATGACGCTACCACACCACGATAGTGGGCACACTGAGCTACTGCGTCTTTTACAGAAGCCCACAGTCTTGAAGACTTAGCAAGATAGTTTGAATTTAAAATTCTCCTTTGACCCACAGATGGCTCACTCTTGACTCTAAACCCACAAAAATCACTCAGCAAAGTCTCTTCTACTTCCAGAGTCCTTTGTTGCCTGACTTTACAAGTGTCAGGCGATTCTGTGAAGTCAGTAATTATCACGTCAATGGACAATCACAACTATAAATTCTCCGGCACAAAAAAACCCTGAGCTCTTCAACAACACACTCCATCGATGCCCCAACAAGATACTGTTGCACAGGCGATTTCTCTCTCTCCTATCTTGCAAACATCACATTTCCTGCACCCTCTTCCACATCCTGCTTATACTTCACCAAATGGTACTTTTTTCAGATCAGCTAAGATTCTTGCAGCCCCCCCAAATTCAGTATTTGCAAAGCCACAGTACAATTTCTGAACTAATATAACCTCCCACATACTATCTTGTTTCTACACTCCCAGCTTGCCTGATGCAACCAGAAAACCTTGATCTTGCCATTCTCAGGGGATGCTACACTTTAAGATGATTGCAAGAGCCCATTATCTCTCCAGATGCTCTCCTGGGAAAGCCTTTGGCTGCTCTGAAGTCCATTCCAGGAAAAATATATTCTTCGAGTGGATGATTCAGGAGGTTTGCATCTTATTCAGGAGGTTTTGCATGTTATGAGAAGGAAAGAAAAAGTGATCTCTTTTTCAACAGTCATTCCTTGAAATAATTATTTGATCTTCTACCTAAAGCTGCACCTGGAACTAACCTCCAAAGAGACTTCATCTGGGTGAGGCATCAAGGTCACCCTGCTGCTCCCAGATCTGTGAACACTTGTAAAAGCATACCCGTAGTAATTCCTACAACCAAATGGCAAGTTATTCCCAAGGTGCCTCAGCATAGTCCTGACTCTGTACTTCTTCCTTACGTAAATTACACTGAAAATGTCAGGAATTGTAAGCACCAACAGGAGCTCTCCCCAGGTAGTTCAAAAAAAATGTTGTCATACTTCATCACCTTCTAAATTTCCCTTTATTTTTTTATATCTATCTTTCCTCATCTGGATAACTGATCTGCAAGATAAGTGATCTTCAAGTTCATTTCTAAAGTCAAGTCTCTGCTGAAGCTCAAACACAAAGCAATCCGAAGCTTTCCTCATCTGTATTTTGTGGAGAAACAGATCAGGATCAGAGCAAATATATTTTCACCATCCCACTGACTCACTTTGCTGTTTGAGAGTGGGTATATTGTCTGCTCATTTCCCAAACTTGTCCAGAGAGTTCTAATTGCTGCCCATACAAGGTTTCACTTTCATCTGCAAATGATCATTCAAAGAGTTCACTTAGGAAACCTCTTTGCTTTCACTCCTGATGCACCCAAGGTTTTTTTTTGTTGTTTTTTTTTAAGATGTCATTTTTATTATTTCTTCAATTCCATTTGCAGGGCTTCTAGTTCTTGTATTAGAAGTCATAGCAATTCTTTCTGGTCTCTTTTGAGGGTGCAGGTTTTATTCTGTGATTGCTTCTTGCACTATGGCTCCACGGGAGCACCTATCACAAATTTCCATTTTGGAAGTTGGATCCACCTAATGATACCAGGTTAACCTTATTCACAAGTAATAGGACAGTTCTGGAGACTTAAGGGCTGTTTCCACTATAAAAAAAAAGTTTAAGATGGTATAAGGCATTATCTTGATCATTTATTCAGAAAGAATTTATAAATCCTTGTTTTCCTCGACACAGGAGAAATCAAATAGCAGGAGTTTATTTAACTACAGTTTTCAGAGAGAACAGTGCTCAGTAGCACACTCATTTTTATTGTCCTTGGGTCAATATAACAGGTTTTGTTTGGCTACGACTGAGGTTTTTGTCCTACATTCTCTGTTATTCTGGTCACTTAGGCCTGCATAGCTCACCCAGTCGATGCTGAATTTCTTTCTGTGAAGCTTCTCGGGTAACAGTGTTCAGCTTTTGCTCAGACTTTAACAAGTATATGTGCTTTGGGTGGTGACTTCTGTAACTTCAGCTATCTGGTTGAAGAAAGAGGAAGGATTATATCTCACACCTCCATTACAAATGAAGAACAAATTAATTACAAATCAGTAATTATACTTGCCAGTGTCAATGAGGTTCCACCCTATGTATGAGCATGACAGTAATGCCAGCATGCATAAAACTCCTCAGCACTTTGTTTTTGTAATGATAAACTTAATTCTGCATCTTTAAATACACACTTAAGAAAACACACAGTTGACACACGAAAACTTAAAAAAACTAACTAGTTTTGTCACATCTGGCTTACTCCCAGGCTCACCATGAGATAAACCAATTTATGCAACTTAGCACTGAACATCTTACCAGATCAACATTTATAAAACCTGGCCCAGAACTTGGAATCTTTGGTTATGTTTCACAACATGCCTATGACCCTGTGCAAATTGCTCCTCTGCTTGAGTCCCATCCCTTATTACAATATTTCTTTTCAAACATACATAGATCTATGCTTGAAAATTCAAACCAGTGTTGTCCCAGTTCCAGCTCTACTAAAGTAAAATGATTCTATTGAAAGCAACCTATCAGAGTAGAGAGTTTAATCTGCCACAGAAAGAAAGTGGACCAGATGAAACAGTCCCATGGACCAGATGAAACAGCCCCATGGACCAGGAGCTTGACTCCACCAGCCTAATACACAGTTTTGTTTCAAATAAGGTGTCATAACAGAACTTTACATGTAGTGGTTTTACTATAGCCTAGATATTACATGGGGGGGGGAGGGGGGATATGGTAATTACTCCTTACATTCAGTGGCAGAAAAACCTGTCCAACTGCAAAAGTTAATACAGACAAGACTTATTGCCTGCCAGGTCCTGACCTTGTTTGTTTTTGCATGAGAAGCCATTTCTCACAGAAACTGAGCACACCTCTAACCCAAATGTTGCAGCTGCCCAGGGTCCATAGCAGTGCTCTCTCTGAAGAGCTGGATACCTGCCTCTGAATGGCTTCATGATCAAATCCTAATCTTTTTTTTAGTACGCCTGCAAATTTAAGCAGGTAAGCAGAAATCTTAACTTGGATCCTCTTCAACAGGTTCTTTAAAAAATTGCCTCCTGACATATTTGCAGCTTAAGTCTACAAATTTGCAGATGTAGAATATACACCTCAGACCACCACTGGAAATAATGTCATAAAAATTTGTTATATCTTTCCCTTGGAAAAAGTAACTAAGAAAATGGCAAACTGTCACCTACAGCCTGACATAAATAAGTTATTACCTCCTCACCAACCCCAAAAAGGAAGAAATCCAGTAAATTTTCTATATGTTATTTTGTACTTTTATCATTTAAAGACATGACTTTTTTTTCTGTATTCTACTATCGTTTACAAATAACATACTATTATGATGGCACCAATATGCAAGAGTATCTACAAAGATACCTGACAATCTGATTTTAAACTTGGACTTCCTGTATTCACAGAAATACTCAGATTTACTGTTCTTACAGCAACACGGAAATCCAAACTATTAATTACAACAGTTTGGCAGTGAAGCTTGACTTACTAAGGTTCTGTCTTCAACCTGCGAAGTGTTACAGACATTGCCCTGCCTGATGTAAAGCCTCATTTTAGAACAATGAAATTCCACAAGCCTCTCAACACTCACTTTTCAGCTCCCTCTGAAGAGTCAAGCCCACTGGGCCCTGCTTTTCAAATCTGGAAGAGGAATGAAGCCTACGGACTGGCACCCTCATGCATGGCAGACAGCAAGGAGAAGACGGTGCATTCAGCTGAAATTGAGTCTACCTTAGCAAAAGGCAGTGACCTAGTTAGAAATTGTCCAAGATATCAAAGTAATACCACTAACACGCAGTTAACCTTTTTCTCTTGGTGCGGTTTGCTGGGGTTTTATTAAGTGAAGGATTTATTTTTTTTTAACCTTTCTAAGTAGCCTTAAAACTTTTATTCTTTGATCAGAAGAATGGAACTTGCATTTGAACATTTTTCACCACTCATAACTGCACAAGGACCTGCTCTTAGTGTTTCAAACCCGATACCCAGTCTTTCCCAATGTATTACTTCTGTTTCCTCTATTTAATGTTTCTGAACAATAAAAATACATTGGCCAGATTGAAAAGGTGACAGTGAATACTTTAGCAAAGCCCACTAATGTTTCAGTTACCTGGAACAACTGGGGAGCTCATCAGAAATCTGAGCCCAGTTAACTTTAAAATAAGATCAACAAAGTCAGGCAAAAAAAAAAAAAAGCACTGTTTCCAGTCTTCAGCACTGAGCTACCATTCGTTAGCCACCCCACCTGCAAAGCATGTATTCTGATTTTAAGTTAGTGGAAGAAAATTACTGCTCAACTCAAGGTACTTCTTACACACATTTCATTTGCAACAATTCTTGGTTTTCGGCTTTTCTCCATATCCATGAAGGAGAAACTGAGGATATGCACAATTCATGGAATTCTAGGAGTTGGGACTGTACAAATAACGTTGGGTATTGCCAGATTCAGAACAAAACTATACTGGTCACACCTAAATCAGCTGCCCTCTAAAGCTGCCTAGTTAAGTTTTCCACATCACAGTGCTCACGATTACACAACTACACAAAATTCCACAGGCATCAGGGTGTAGATGCACACTGGCGGCAGTCAAAATTCCCCGCGCTGAAATGAAACACATCCTGCAGGTGTGGCTGGGGAGACCTCAGTGGCTTGTGCCTGCTGCTCCTCCAGCTTTCATCCCAAGCACCCTCAGGAGGCAGGCAGGCAGCTCGGGTGGCTTGGAGTGTGGTGCTTGACCCACCCTTCTCTGCACACAGGAATACCAGCGCAAGTTTTCACTCAAAAGAGGAAAAACCTTAAGAATGGGGTTGCTCTCTTTTAACTGTGGGCAGCAGGTACAAAAATCCGGGGCTTGCCATGAGTTTAAGTAGTTGTTCTCCCAGTCCTCTGACTGCTTTCAACTGCCCTGCAACATCAATTAACTTGTGTGTGTCAAGTGCAGGGGAGGGGGGAAAGCCTTTTGAAATACAAACAAATCTCTCAAAGAAAATCAAGATAAGAAGTCCAAGCACTGGGTCATAACAAGTTTCTGTAGTTTGAAATTCATATGAAAAGCCTTGTTTCAGGGTTTGTTTGTTGATTTTTTTAAATGACGTTGATGTTTATCTGCCAGAGGTCAAACAACAAAAACTTGATTACTGTTTTAATATTAATTCCTTGTACAGAGAAGAGCTGTAGTAAGCTTAGCCTACAGTGTCAGATGGTAAAAACCACACTTGATATGCTCTTCTAGCTGCCTTCTACCAAGTAATTTCAACTCCATGCCATGTGGCAGAAACAACCTAAAGGGGCATTTAAAATGAACTCTACAAAATGTATTATATCAGAAGATTCCCAAAGTACCACAATACATTACATATAATCTTAGTTGTTACAAAGCATTGGGCACCGCGTGCGCTTAGTAAGTCAGCCATACATAGCAAACAACTTTGGGACCAACACCAGTAAGAACTCCTGTGCTTTTACACAAAGAATTGCATAAGATACCATAGGTAATCTTAAAACTGCTATTTCTTTCCGAGGAACTTTGTAACTCAGGCACTCTCTTGGAGAAAGCAGTATTATTATGCATTTTGCTTAACAACACTGGAAACCCTGGGGAAAAATGTACCAAATACTCAACTGTTTGAGAGCTCAGCGCAGACTTCCACCACCCGAAACACCAAAGTAAACAGGTGCAGTGACAAGCTGATTTCTTCCATGTCAAGCAATTTGAAAAGAAATCGGGCAGTTTGCCAGTACCTCTTCTAGCTATTTTTTGTCAGAGGGAACTGCACATCTCTCAGCAACTGCCCATCATCTTCTGTTCCTCTTCAGCCCTGCTTCCCTTCTAACACGTGCCACCTTTTAAATCACACAAACCAGTTACTGCCCCACCACACACACTAACCTCTTTCCGCACACCCTTGATCTGCTGATTTCACTACCACCTCACCCTACATTCACCAACATACTTCTGTGCACCCATCTCCCCCTTCTCCTCTTCATCATCCCGGGGCCAGCAACCTGAGGACTCAGAGGCCAAGAGAGACTGTTTTCCCTGTTCTCTGCAGCCTATAGCAACTCATGGTCACTCATCAGCCACTGGAAGTAATAGCAAGGAAAATCCTACTCAGGTGAAGCCCACAGAGGGTTGGGGCAGCTTTTGCACAGGCAGCATCTCAAGTTACCAAACTCTGAAACATTCTTGCTAGTGCACAAGGATCCCCTAAACTAGAGGCACAGAAGGCCAGCTACTGAGCAACAGGAAGAGGGCAAAAAGCACTCATGGACATGGTTGGCAAAACCTGCCTGAAATTTATAATGACAATTCACTTAACTTGACAAGCCAAAAGGTAAACCTGAGCAGAAGATCCAGAGCTGCAGGAGCTCTGGAAGGGGAAACTTATACCCAGGTAGAGCTCACAGTAAAAGAGCCCCATGCAGCCCAGCCTGGTCAATGACTTAGGGTCCTCTTTATTTTTAAGCAATAAATAAGAACTGTTTCAAAAGACCATGCTTTGGACAATGCTTTGTTTCTATTCAACAGCAACCAATAAAATGCAAACAAATGAGTGTGAGAGGTAGACACAGACAGTTGGAAAAACAGCACTAAAACAACAAGACTACTCCTGACAGTCTTTTGGCTACTACAGCCAAAATAGTCTCTCAAACCTCAAGCGATTTCCTTAACTCTGTTTCCAGTTTTGCAATCAAAACCATTACCTTGCTAGAATGTAATTTCTTGGTTTAAGTTTGTTTCATGCTTGAAGTGAACTGAGGTAGTAATTACTTTTACTTCTCCAGAGATAAGGAACCTAAAGCAGTTGAACAGCTGAAGCTTTCCTGTGCCCAATGGGAAATGAAGCTGTAAATTCTGGGAACTGGGACTCAGCTCCCACACAGCTGTAGGTGAGGTTGGGAGCTCTTGGTGCCCAGTGCCAGCAGAGAGGAGAAACCACTCAAAAAGCAGTCCAAAAGGTCAGGGTTTTGCATCATTGTACAGCTGAAACCAGAACCTATGTCAGGAAGTGTCCACATCTACATAGCAGTGGAATTACTGATTCAAATAATTAGATGGAATCAGATTTACAAATAACAAATGAAGGTTTAAAATAATGTCATAAGGGGGTTTATGTCCTTAATATAACTAAAATATGCATCTTTTAAGTAAGTGACAAAACAAGACAGACAAAGAAAATGGCAAAATCCTGAACTACCGTTCACGTTACTTTCTCCAGTCTTTCCATAAATACCCCTAATCAAGTATATCAAAGTCACATGAACTTCACCAATCTCCCTTTGGTACAAGAAGTAACAGACCTTTCAAAGCAAGCAGAAACCAGACTTTCAAGTGCATTAAATACACGTGCAGAGGACATGGCTTTGTGCCATTGCCCAACAAACAGGCTCAGGCTTCAGCCGAGCAGCAGCAGCCTGCACCATTAAGAGTGAAGAGCAGCAGGTTTCAAACACGTCGCCGTGCAGTAAAACACTTGACTGAGCAAAGGTTCATGCACTTCTTAGGAGATAATGTTCCAAGCTGGGGAAGGCAAAGACTGATCTGACTCTTTCTTCCACAGCACTTTTAAAATACAGGATAACCTTGATTTCTAGTGAGTCTGAGAACTACGTAAAGGTTGTTTAGGTAATCCCCTCATTATGTAAAAGTAAGTTAAATCAGACTTAAAGTTGTGCAAGTTAAACAATCTCCCGTCTCTTTCCTGACTATTCCCCACATTACCCACAGGCCAGATGAGAACTACAGAAATTGTAATAGCCACCACTTGTTTCAATTCAAAATTGGAATCCTCTCTCATTTCCATTACTACCACAAAATTTACGGGTAAACCCACTTTTACATTATTAAATCAATTGGTTTCTTCCCCAAGCCAAATTTTCTCCCTACTTCTGTTTTATAATGAGCTCTTTGAACCAAGGATATTTCATTTTAGTGCCCACTCTCATAAATCATAATTCCGTAATTAAGTCTAATCCTATATTCCTTCACACCCAAGCTGTGTTCTGTGTGTGAGTAAAACTTCTGAAACAAACCAACCCCCTCCAAGGCTCATTACTTGCCACATTCTCATAAGGGTGCTTTGTGGAAAGCTTTGCCTCATTGTTTATTTAAAGACAGCACTGTTGTTAGAATACTTGCAAAGAGCATCAAAATAAGGTCGTTATAAATGGCAAAGCTGGAGCTGTGCCTAATTGCTAATGTGAGTGGATAATCACAGAGGATATAAGCTTTGATATATGGTTTAAGTTGCAAGGTGTGCAAGATACAGCTGTATTTATATGTCTACGTATCTGCTTATGTGGCATTTATTGTAAGATCAATGAAGGTGTTTAATAATGCATATAATATAGCTTATGCTTATGAAAGTTATCACAGAAAAGAAATACACCATATAGCTGAAAAATGTACATTAGCATACAAAGTAGCTGCAGAATTCACTCCAGTGTTTTTGCATTAGGAAGCCAACCAAGACAGCATAGTTCTGAAAATGCTAATCCTACAGTATTTAAGAACAAAAGAAAGAACCACGCAATCAAAACTGTCAGATCTCATTGGCACTGTGAGACCAGAGGCTAAAGTACCTAGGTAATAAAACATACAAGTACCTTTGCTTGTACAGGAAAGCTGAAATTCAGCTTCTCTTCCTTCTTCTAGGTATTATTTGATTCTGTATGTCTCAGAATTCAATTATGAGTAATTTTAGTTATGCCACTCTCACTTTCTTCAGGCTTTTCATTCTTTCTGACTAATTAGGTTTTGTCATCTGGCCCAAGACAAAAAAAAAATGGATATTAATTAAAGGACACATACTCTGCTCCTTAACCATAGCTTACATTTTCAGACAGTAGGAGGGAAGGGTAAAAAGAATAAGCACACTGATGAATATACTACATTGGTGTGCTGTAAGCACCATCAGTCACTACATCTTTTTTCTCAGCACCATTCTGAGGCCACCACGATTACATTTTAGCCTTTGCTGTATTCAGAATGTTTTGATTTATGCTGTTCTATAAGCACTTTCTACTTAATCCCGTCTTTTCACAAAGCATGACTGACTCAATCTGTGTGAAGTCAAATAAGATGATTAATGCACAAAAGCCCAGGGAAGAAGCCTCAATAAAACTGCGATACTCATTACAAATCAGAAAGTTCTGGCAAGCACTTCCTCAAATTAACAGAAGTTGTTCAACAAAAATCAACATTAAACTCAAGAAAATTAGTCCAAATACTCCACAACACGCTTCTTGCTGCTAATTACAAGTAAGTCTCAGCACCCCTTGTCATCCACCGTCATACATTACCTAGCAGGCAGCTCCTGCTGCATGCTCTGTTAATTATGTTCCATGAGGTTTCTCACTGCTATGGCACAGAAGTGTATTTATGGAGGTGAGACAGGAATGCAGCTACTGATGGTGACTAACAGGCCCATTGTCAAATTTTCCTACAGCTGATGCTGGCTATTGCCATTACTTACTTTTTGTTCCGCCTCTCCAACTGAGAATGTTTTTCTCCCCCTCACTGTACCGACTGGTGATTAATAGCAGCTCTAATTCCCAGCATGCACCGTTACCAACATTTGCAGCTAAAATACTGGGGAAGGTGGTCTTGAGGTTCAGACACTGGTCTAGAACAACGTAAGATGCCTGGATTCATTGCCTAGCTCTGCCGCGTATCTTCTTTGGGACATAAAGTCTCCAACTGCACAAAAGCTAAAACACACTGAAACCTCAAAAATCAGGGGGGAAAACACCCACATTATTAGTACAGTTCAATAATCCAGTACCACATATATCTTGAAATAGCAGAAAGCCAGCCATAGGTTTAAATTCCTTTTCCCAAACTTTTTCTTTTCTGTACTAAATTGTCACTGGCAGTTTATACATTCAAAAGCACGCTCCTTCTTATTTAAAAAAGGGGGAAAAGGGGAGCCCAGAGAGCGCTGAGATTGGAAAAGCCAGGCTGTACATCGTCAGATGGATACAGGAGGAAGAATTTGGAGCAGTGCTGCCTGACCTCCTTGCCCCTGCCCCCATCCTACACTACAGCGCTAGCCCCAGATGCGGAAGAGAGGTTCAGTTTCCTCTTCTGACTAAGAGGGATCAAATCTGAAAGCAAGAGTCCTCACGCTAACATCCAACAGCTATTTATAGTAAAGAAGCAGTATAGAGACAAGGACAGGAGCACAGGTTACTTCCAGCTGAAAGAAGTGCCCCAGCCTTTTGGGTCCTATTTACACAATCTCATGGTTCCAGTGATTCTCAAACCCTTTTTGTAGAAGGCATGGAAGGGCACTCCTGCCTTCATCTGGCACCACTCAGCACCCTAACCTGGACACAGGGCCAAGAGGCACAGATCCCCTATGTCCTGAACAAGAAGGTTAGGACATTCTAAACTGCCTGAGAGCAAGATATCCACACTTAAGGCTATAGTAGATATTATGCTGACCCTACACTTGATCTGAATAGCTCAGCTGCATCTTTCTCCGGGCTCTAAATTTCCTGGGAAAACTGAACACGTGAAAATTTCTGCACCAGCAAGTGAGCAAAAACTATTCTCATATTGATACTATAAACTCATAAAACAGCCTTTGCTTAGGATTCTCCCTCAAAACTAATCTGTTGAGCTGGTTCTTCAAGGAGTAAGGTCCGCTGACATGACAGACCTCCCCCGCTTGGAGAGGTGCTATGAACTTTTTAATCTTATTTATAGAATGGCCTCGCTCATGCTTTGTTTAAGAAACAATTAGCCTTTGACAGCTTAAAATAAACAGGACTCTCTCCCTGCTGCAGAGTCACTAGACCTGAGCTAGATTTCAGGCTCTTGCATGAAACTACCTTAGTGTAAGTGACAAGATAGTTTGCCCAGCACCTTCAAAACCCTGAGCAATAGAACAAGGACCCACATCAAGTCAAATAAAGTGAGCCAACAACCATTCCTGCTCCTAAACCATTTTGTCCTTACCAACAAGAGGCGCCTCTGGAAGACAAGGCCCCCTCTTGTCAGGTGTTTGCGAACAGAGGACTTGCAGGAACACAGAAGATGCAGGAGTTTAGCAGTGGTTGCATGCTAGATGTGCAGCTGGGCAAACTTTTTCCCTGAACATACAGCTGCTTTTTCTGCCTCCTGCGTTGCTGCAACAGGTCCAAAGGCAGAAACGGCAATAGCTGGCACAGATAAACGTGACTTGGCATCACAACTTTGTATTTCAGTCCAAGCTCTTGTACCACCAGCAGAGGGGTCAGCATTCCCATCTAGTAGACATGAGAGTTTTCCACTTCACCTTTCCTTTAAGGCCTTCATTCAGGTTGTCAACTCCAGCCTCCTGGCTCTGCAGCTGCTTTTACCATTCCAGGGAGCAGGGCTCAAAAAAAGCTGTACTGAAAAGCTAACAGAGGTACATCAGCATTCTTGAACTCCTGGCCTGCCAAAGGAGAGACACACACAGGAGTCCAGTTTCACCCCCAGTGGTTTTCTTAGGCTGGGTTAGCTGGTCAAAAGAGATCCTAGGTAGTCTCATTAGGGTGTTGGCTTGAGTTCAATTATTTCTTCTGGTAAAGATTTCCCAGGTGCCTTAGGCAAGCTTTGATCTTGGCTTCCTATCTACAGAACCAGGGGTAAATGTCCTGCCTTAACTCCAAGGGATGAGGAGAGGACCAGAACACAGGAATGCCAACATGCATTCAGGCAACACACAGTTGTACAAGCACCAGTCACAGCAGAAATGTCTATGAGTGCAGATAAAGCAGGTGTTCTCAGAAATGAGGAACATTTCTCAACACAATGAAAAGTGGAAAGTATGGCAAATTTAGCTTCCCTCAGATAACAGAACACAGCAATGAGATAGAACAATGAAACCAAACAATGCATCAGTAAGTTATGCCAACAAAAGA